CAACTTCTTGCAGATTACACACTTGTAAAGCAAACTGCGTATGCACTTCTTACCTCCTACAAGCCAAAATCCAGCAGCTCTGACAGCACCTTCTGTAAAGTGTCTGCCCTGATGTTTCACAGACTCATGATAATGTCGCACAATGAGTTTTGCCACATGATGTGTACCCGGGATGATAATAGGGTTAACTTCACAAGTTTCCAGACCTGACCTCACAATACGACCCCCTACTCGAATTAAGCCATTGCTGTCAAGGACAGGAGATAGTTTCCTCAACACACTCTTATGAGGAAGGTTGTGAGATGCAGTGATGCTTTTAATCTCTGTTGGATAACTCTCCTTTTGAGCATTCTTCAACACAATAATTTTTGCCTTCTCCAGCTCTTCTTCAGAAGGACCTTTGCAGCAGACATGCCATCCTCTGCAACTATCATCTTGCGAGCCTTTGGAGAAAGAGCTGGCAATGTGAATCAAACGTGCTATTGCTCTGATGAGAGTGTTAAAGTTAGAGAATCTGCTAAATCTCTCAGAATTCCATGTGACCTTGGGAACTTCAGTAAGGTTTGAAACCACATGTGGGCGTATTTCAGAATCTGAGGTTGGATCCACAAGCACAAATGACTGTTGTGATTCAGACTGAAGCTGAGAAATATGCAAGAAGTGTGGGCCTGTAAGCCATGAACTGGCACCTAGCGATGCTGCAGGTACAGATCTGGACCCGTGGTCTGCTGGGTTAAGCTCTGTGGGAACATATCGCCATTGTGCAGGCAAACTGGATTTATGTATACGTTGAATCCTGTTGTTCACGTATACATAGAACCTCCGTGTTTGATTACAAATGTAGCCTAGTACTACCTTGCTGTCAGTATAATACCAGATATGATCAAAGGTCATGTCCATCTCTTCCACAATCAACTCTGCAATTTCCACTGCTAATACAGCAGCACACAATTCCAGTCTTGGGACAGTAATGTCTGGCTGTGGTGCTAATTTGGATTTCCCAAATAAGAAGTTAACAGCTGTGTGACCATGTTGATCTGTCACCTTCAGGTATCCTACAGCAGCTATGGCTTTGACAGAAGCATCAGCAAAAACACAAAGTTCTTTACACTGGACATCGTACAGAGGAATGGGTATACAAACACGTGGTATTTGCAGTTCTTTCAAATCTTGAAGAGATTTTTTCTATTTTTTCCACTCTGCCTCCATGTCCTCTGGCAAAGGGGAATCCCAGCCCTCACCTTGTTTGGTAAGTTCCCTCAACAGTAACCTTCCTTGTATGGTGACAGGAGCAAGGAATCCAAGAGGGTCATACAAGCCATTCACGGTAGATAGGACTCCTCTCCGAGTGAAAGGCTTGTCATCATCCGAAACATGAAACATGAAAGAGTCTGTTGCAACGTTCCAGGACACACCAAGACTACGTAGGATGGGAAGGCCATTAGAGAAAAGCTGCAGATCTTTAATGCCCTCAGCACGATCTTCCAAAGGAAAGGCTTCAATCACATTTGGACAGTTAGAGATAATCTTGTGCAGTCTAAGGTTGGACACTGCAAGCATTTCTTGTGTACGTTTGAGAAGGTCGATCGCCTCTGCCTGTGTAGCGCATGATTTCAGCATGTCATCAACATAGAACTCCTTCTCCACTAGCTTTCTGGTGTCACTGCCAAATCTCTCTTCATGTTCTTTGGCTGCTCTCCGTAGGCCATAGATAGCCACTGCTGGTGATGGGCTATTCCCGAAAACATGCACACGCATTCTGTGATCCACAATTTCGCCATCAAGGTCATTGTTTCTGTACCACAGAAACCTAAGATAATCCCTATGATCCTCCCTAACCAGAAAACAATGGAACATGTGCTGTATGTCAGCAGTAATAGCCACAGGCTCTTTACGGAATCTCATCAGGACCCCTAGCAGGCTGTTATTCAAATCAGGGCCTGTGAGAAGTACATTGTTCAGTGAAACTCCCTCATATGGCGCACTTGAATCGAAGACAACTCGAATTTTGCCAGGTTTTTTAGGGTGGTACACCCCAAACAGCGGCAAGTACCACACTTCCTGACCTTGCTGAAGAGGTGGTGCAATTTCTGCATGCTCATTTTTTAACAAGTTGTCCATAAAATCCAGGAAGTGCGCTTTCATCTGTGATCGTTTGTTCAGAGTGTGTCGCAGCGCGAGAAGACGTTTGAATGCATAGTCTTTGTTGTTGGGTAGACTTTGTCTGGGCTCACGAAAGGGTAGCGGAGCAACCCAACTATTGCAGCTGTCTTGAAAAAACTCTTTGTCCATGATCTGAAGAAACCTAGTGTCTTCCACAGATGGAGCAATCTTATGATCATTTGCAGTGTAGGAGAAAACTGAATGACCAACACTTTCACCATCAGGCACTATCAGAATGTCCTCAGATGTGGTTTCTAAAGGTTGTTGCCATTGTGGATTAACGTCCAACTTCTCTTTAACCTTGATTTGACTATAGCATGGACTCAGAAAGCTGTGACGGCCATTATCTAAGATGAAAGTCTTGTAAGTATGAACTGAAGATGGCCTATGAGCTCCTCTGAGACACACATCCCCAACGACAACCCAGCCCAAATCCAGTTTTTGGGCAAAAGGGGCGTTATTTGGACCATTGATTTGTTTGCGTACTTTGTGTACTTGCAGGATGTCTCTGCCCAGTAACATAAGAATCTCAGCATCAGAGTCGAGAGGTGGTATTTCTTGTGCTATTTGTCTCAAGTGGCTGTGATGAAACGCTGCACTAGGAGTTGGAATCTCTGTACGATTGTTTGGAATCTGATTACATTCTAGAAGAGTAGGGAGAGGTAGACTTATCTTTCCATCAATGGACTCCACAATGAAATCAGAAATTCGTCTCCCCGCTGTCTCTAAAAGGCCTGCACATGTTTTCAGTGTGTAGGGCAATGGAGTTGTTTTGATGTTAAAGATGTCAAAGAAATCTTTTCTCACCAAAGAGCGGTTGCTTTGCTCATCTAAGATAGCATACATCCTCTTTGCTTTCTCTTTGTGTCCAGCTGGATAGACGGAAACTAGACACATTTTTGAACAAGACCGTGCACTCAGACCTTCTCCGCAGACTTCCGTGCACTCAGATGTAACCTCATGACTTTCTGATTTGTTTTTCTCCCCGCCATGCTCTGAGGTAGGGGTAGATGCCTGAGATTTCCAGGGGGCAGGGCCCGGATGAAGAGCCGAAGGATGACGGTCACTACCGCACTCTTTGCACTGAACTTCTACAGTGCAGTTTTTTGCAAGATGGTCTGTAGAAGAACAGCAACGGTAACACACAGACCGCTCTTTCAGGAACTGCATTCTATCTTGTAGAGATTTCTCTCTGAACCCTCTGCATCTTCTCAAAGGATGAGGTTTTCCATGTATTGGACAGCTTTTGTTCGGGCTAACTGATCTCTTTTCCTGTTCAGATGGTATTTTAGTTGAAGGATAAATTTGAGTCTTGTGAACAGATATTGGCATTTGTCTTTGTCTCTCAAATCTTTCTCCTTTCTCGTATTTCACATGAGGAAACGTACTGAAACTCGGATCTGTACGTGCTTTTGCTTCTGAACGAACAAAATTTGCAAACACTGAGAAAGGTGGAAAAGCAACATGATGTTCTTGCTTATATTTGGATCCAAATGACATCCACTTTTCTTGAATGTTATACGGAAGTTTTTCCACAATAGGATTTACCCCCTTAGAAGTGTCCAAGTATGCCAGACCTGGTAAGTATCCTTCAAGCTTAGCAGCTTCTAGTTCTGAGAGAATGTCTCCTAAATCTCGAAGCTTTTGTGGGTCTTTGTTTGTCACTCTGGGGAAATCTTCTAGTTTGGCAAAAAGAGCATGTTCAATTGCTTCTGGAGAACCATATATTTCTTCAAGCCTCTGCCATGTCATTATCAGTGCAGCTGACGGATTTCTGATGTGAACCGCTTTCAGTCTCCGTGCATGTTCAGAAGATTCTCTACCCAGGTATTTAATTAAGAGATCAAGCTCTTCTGCTGGGGAAAGACCCAAACCAGAAATAGCACCTTGGAAAGATGATCTCCATGCCCAGTAATTAATGGGCTTGTCATCGAAGTAAGTAAGCCCTGCTGTCACAAGTTGCGAACGAGCTAGATACTTTGCGAGGTCATAGGTAATGGACAAGGAATCTCCTTTATCAGGAGGTCTACTCTGCATTTGGTAGTGATAAGGAGGATACTGCATTTTTGTGACATTTTGATTCATGTCTGCTTCAAAGTCCATGTTTTGTGAACTAATCGGTACATTTTTTAAATCTGACTCATTTTTGATTGGACTTACTAAGTGAGAAGCTTGAAGTGGTAGTTGAGTTTCCTTTCCTCCACTAGATGGCAGTGTACCACCACTACTGATTTCGGATTGTGTTTTCACATAATCCGCTGTTCTGATTCGACTGTCCTCGATGGGAACAGGAACTGATACTCTGCTGGCTGCGCTACATTCTGTTTCTAACAATGCTTCCTCCAGTACCTGAGCTTCTACCAAAGCAGCATCCTTTTCTTTTTCCTCTTGCAAAGCCTCCAGTGTTGCTTTAAGTCGTGCCTGTTCAACTTTCAATTCTATTTCTCTTTTAGCATATGCTGCTCTGGCTTGTGCGGCTTCCGCTTTTGCTCTTGCTTTGAAAACCGCTATGCTGGCGCTTGAGTGGCGACTGGATGCCCTTGAAGAACGACTTGATGCTTTTAAGGAATGTGCGCTGACAGAGTGCACATCTTCAGCTGTGCCTTTAAGATCTGCTGAGTCTGTCTGACCTTCTGCCATGTTTATATACGACTTAATCACATGCAGAAAAATCTGATTGATGTGATAGAGACTTTGGAATGTTTAAATCTTGATTCCACACAGTTCTTGAGCGTCTTTCTCAGTCTGTTGTATTGATGTCTTTTCACTGTACTGGCCTTATTAGATATCTCTGGCATCTAACTATCCAGTAAGTTAAACAGTGACTCAAAAACCTAGCTGGACACCACAAGTCGTTTCTGAAGTTTATGATTCAACTGTGAAACTGTAAAAATATACAAAAGATACAATCACTAAAAATGAAATTGGAAAATTACAGATTGACAACGTAAGGATAATTAAACTAAGAAAATATACATCTTAATATCAAATAACCTTCTCAAATGTATTACACAATAAATTTAACACTGTGTACTTACAGACATTGCGTCTAACAGATGCAGAGAAAGGTGATGCTCAAAGATGTCACATAGCTACCACATTTTGCTGAACTATTGCAGTACTACTAGTACTTCCTGCTTCCTGAACTAAGAGGTTGTCTGTGACTGCTTTTCAAAATTAAAGTCCTCACTAGAATAGACATTTTCAAAATAATAAACCTGAGAACCCTAAATAATTTCAGTCCTGCACAAGTGGTATTCAAAACCTTTAAGTAAATACAAATAGCAATACCATAAAGTACAACAATCAGCTAAATCTATTGTTCAAGTATTCATTGTTGTGTTCACAAACACAGTGGCACCTGGTGTGCATGTTTATGCAGTGCAATACTGTTGCATCACCTCTTCTTGTACTTACAGTTTTTCTGAGTTGCTAAAACACTAAATCCCATTCTCTGAACCACATTCTCAATTGCCTAAAAAAAATTGTCAAATAAATCACTCTATCTGTAAAATATTAAACAAGTTCAGGTAGATAAGACACTGTTTGCAAATCTCATTGACTCTTTCTTTTTTTTTTTTAAACAAACACATTCTCACTCACTAAAACACATTTAGCACTGTGATACACTTATGTTTCAAAAAGCTAAACACGGGCGGGCAAAAGTTAAACACAACTGCAACACAGTTGTCATCGTTTACACACAACGGGCCCTATCTTGCACTCAGCGCAATTGACTTTGTACACCGGCGCATGTATCATTAGTATTTTGCACCCGCGCAAAGCGCACTTATCCCTCCACAGACGCACGTCGGTAAACTAGGAAATGAACTTGCGCTCCCTGGGCGGTTCAGCGCAAAAAAGGAGGCGTGTTTCGGCGCAAACATTCCCTAGTGCTATTTTGCAGTTCCAGAAAACAATTCCGCCACTGACCAGAAAAAGCCTAGTCTAAAGTCAGTGGTGCGTTGTTCATAAGCGCGCATGCTTGGCCATAATGTAGCGGGTGCACAACGCGCATACACTTTGATTCTCTCTTCAACACAGATGCAGCAGTTTAATAATAGCAATCCGCCATGCAACATGCGCACCTGCTCTTAAAGGGAATGTGAGATGACGCTCTGATTGGTTTATTCCACGTTACGCCCAAACCACACCTATGAATAATGAAGCTACTTCAGACCAACCCCTTTTAGACTTGCGCCAGGCGCAAGAGGCATTTATCCCGCCGGGAAAATAGCAACAGCGCCGGGATCCGCCCACAAAGTTACTTGCGCTTTGACACTTGCGTTTCAGATCGTTAAAATAGGGCCCAACGACTCAAAATTGTTCACACTTATGTCTAATGATGTGACCAAACCTATGTCCCCTTTTTTCAAAACTCTACACACAATTCCCAAAACTGCACTCACAAAATGCCTCACATCTCCTTCAAAATGTAACACTGCATTCAAAATGCCATAAACACATGTCAGAATGAAGCATTTGCATCAAATGGTAAACACTTCTTTCATAATAGTACATTTTTGGATATACCATGTAAACACTGTTGTTCTAAATCTAAAGCTCTTTGGTCTTTCATAGGCTTATATCTACATTTCAATACAATGTTCTACAGTGAAAGTAATCTTCTGAGAGGGCTAACAAGTCACTGTAAACACCATTGCAATGTAGAAACAGAAAATATTTATTAGGCCAAACATTACGGTTGTATACAGTAGCATACTATAAAACCATAAACATATGTAAACCAAAAGTATATTCTTTAGAATACAGTAAAGAACACAATTGTGTGTGTGGGGTATTACACGGGCATCCATCTCCAATTCTCTCTGTAACAGACAAAAGGCTATAGATGAGTAAATATGGTATGTCTGAAGTACTGGAAGTAGTGTTGCATACTCTACAAAGTCATGTCGCAGATTCTTGACTCTGTCAGAGTTTCACCTTGTAAAGTCGTTTCATCGTCACTTGGTGCCGTTGGAGGATGCGTTGTATGGTCGACAGGCTTACAGCATCGATGTTGTTAAATATGGTGTCATTATTCAAGATATGCTCTTATCTCTCGAATCTGCATTGTTGGCCAAAACCATATTTATAATTGCAGTCTCTTGTACATCTGTAAACAAGCGTCCTTGTCCTCCATGATGTCTTTGCCTTTCCACTCTGTACAGAATTCCAACACAGTATGTGTTCAGCATAGGAACTGTAAACAACTTACAAAAAAAGGTAGTACAGCATGATAACCAACCTCATTCATTCAGTGCAGTGCAGTGAATGATGGCTTAGAGTTACAAATGTTTATGCTATACTATGCAGTCATACGTATTTTACAGTACATTACTGTAATGCTAAAATAGTCATTAGATAGTTGCATACCTGTGTTTATTTCTGAAGGTTCAAATTATGGACGCCACTGTAAATCAACTCAAGTTGGGCTGGACTCTCAGTCCAGCTTCTCTCATGGTCAAACCGTGGTTGATCACATGATCAACAAGTGTTGCCCTAGTCCAGGGGTCGGCAACCCAAAATGTTGAAAGAGCCATATTGGACCCAAAAAAAAAAAAAAATCTGTCTGGAGCCGCAAAAAATTTAAAGCTTTATATAAGCCTTATAATGAAGGCAACACATGCTGTAAGTGTTATATGATCTTTATTAGCCCCCTAGTATCAAAATGATAAGTAGGCTACAAATTAAAGCTTAGATCGGGCCCAAAAAAATCAAGCCCGGCCCGGCCCGACACATTAAACGTAATTATTAGCCCGAGCCCGATTTTAACCCGACCATTTTTTAATGCGTGGGTCGTTATAACTGACGTTCTCAACTTTCTTTCTCCCGCCCGCAACATTTATGTTTTGTCCCGCTCCCGCCCGCAAATAGACTTTTTTCTGTACCTCCAAATACTTTCAAGTTAGCCTACGTGTCGCCACCATACATCCTCCTGATAAATTATTTGTTATTAAAGCATTAAAACACAAACCACTGTTAATTTAACATAAAAGAAAGCAGTTTACTGCGTGCATGGTTTGACTGAATGCGCGCAAAGTGCGCTCTCTTAATAATTCCTAAAAAGCTGACAGTTCATCGCGATCTCACACATCTCTGTTATTATCAATGAAGCTGACTGCACAATGAATCTTTCATAATATCCACACTTTGTTCGTTATAATTAGAGGATTTGCCAGCATACAGAATTCAGCACTGAACAAAAAAGTCCGTTTTGAGCGGTGAGGGGAGTCTATCTTAAATGCTTCTGATTGGCCATTGCGTTCAAGAAATCAACACATATGTCTGTGATTGGCTATATCGCTCAACGCTGCAAACATGTTATGAATAGAAATTCTGGCCTGTAAATCGTTTCTATTTTGTTTTAGTAGAGTGAGTGCATTACCGCACGTGCCCGCGCTCGCACTCGGCCATCAAATCTAGTCCCGCGCCGCACTCTATTGCGTTGGGAATGCTCAGCTATCTTTCTCTTTTTCCCCTTGGGATCCATGGCCCATGACACACCCGCCGGTTTGTTTGTTTGTTTGTTTGTTTGTCAGCCAGCAACCGGTCTGGCATCACGCCGATCTGACAGACAGGTGTGTCACAGTCTATGACGTAAATTCTTCGTTGACAGAAATGTTGAAATTAAATATTTATTATACACATTTTTACAACGTTGAAAAACTTTAAGAATGTTTGTCATGTTTTTCCTCCTACAGAAATTATAATAAAACAAAAAATATTTTTTCCATTTTCAAATTTTTGAAAAAGGACCAGGGAGCCACTAGGGCGGCGCTTAAGAGCCGCATGCGGCTCGCCGACCTATGCCCTAGTCTCATCAAAGATGGCTCTCCTTCATTCTCTTCTTTGCCTTTGCCCTCGCCCTCTTCTTCCTCCTCTTGCTCTCTGTCCATTGTTGGCATCCATTGTTCAAAACAGGTAATCTGACCTTTGACCTATTTATAGGCCTATACTACAGTAAAGCAGTGATTGGTAAGTGATCATTTAAGCAATTAGTGTTTGCACATGTGAAGAGTGTGTGTGTGACCTGGTGAATAAGTGTAGCATTTTGATTGGTTGTGTTTGGAAAAGGAAAGCAAGTCACTTCCTGTTAGATTTTTGTGTTTTAGGTAGATAATTGTGTGTAGTGTTTTGAAAAAAGTGTTTTATGCAATTGAAAACTGAGTCAAAGGCTGAGAAATAGCTTTTGGTTTTGGAGATTTGGTGTGTAGTTTTGCCCTTTGAGTGAGAGGTTTCAAAAATCGTGTGACATGAAAAGATTTAGTGTGTAAGCAGTTGGAAAAAACTGTAATACAAGTCAGTTCAAAGTGCCAAAATTTACTCAAAATGTTGCACTGAATGTTGATATCAACAGTGGATGGAAACAATATAAGAGGGAGAGCAGGAAGAGGATGAGTAAGAGGTGGTGAACTAGCAGGAAGAGGGGGAGGAAGAGCAGATGTGGAGAATGTTGTCAAGGCTTGATCTGGCTTCAGGGTTTTTCTCTTTGCCTGCAGAGATGACTTAGTCTGTGACGTGTCCTCAGTCCTCAGGCCGGACCAACATGCAGACGGGATGCTGAAGCAGAATAAAATCTGTTTTTTTTTTTTTGCAGTTGCACAACTCTTCTGAGTGTACTTTACTGTAACATGCTTTTGCTTTTGGCTTTTGCTGTTGGGTCACTGTATTTTCACAGTATGCAAATGCTGAATATTCAGACATTGAATAGCCCTACTATACAATATTCAGTAAAATACTACACTTGCAGTGCCTACATTATACAATTTATTTACCTTACTACTGTAAGTTGTGATTATTATACATTTTTACGTAATTGCAAAGTTTGTTTACATAGTTACAATATACTTTTTTTCTGTGACTGCATGCTTTGGATTCTGTGTTATCTATTTTTCTCTGCAGTGTCTAATGAATGATCTGTAGTGTTTATAATATTGACTCGCTGTGTGTATGTAGTTTGAAGATTTGGTTTTGTGTTTACGGTTTTGAGAAAGTGGGTGATGGTTTCAAGAAATGTGTTTTAGCAATTACGAAAAAATTTCCATCCTACCACTTGTGTTTAGTCATGTGATTAGTCATGTTGATTGTGTAAGATATGGTGTCTGTGTTCTAGAAATAAGCTTCCCTCACAGATTTACAAGTACTGCACAGATTCTTAGTATTTTGTCGATTTTAGGAACAAAATGAA